CGACGATGTTGCACGGTGATGCTCCTCCTGTAAGAGCAGCCTTCAAGGACAAGGAGGTTGTCCAAAGGTGCAGCCCAGCTCCTCACAGCTGTGCATGGTGGAGAACATGAAACAGCTGGTGTAAGCCAAAACTAGACAGGTTCAAACTGAGTATAAGGAAAATTATCATGAGGACAGCCAAGCAGTAGATCAGATTTGCTCAGAGAGGTTGTGCGGGCTCCACCTGTGGAGGTTTCCAAGACCTGGCTGGAGCAACCTGGTCTGACCCCAGGGCTGACCCTGCTTAGAGCAGGTTGGCCTGGGGACCTCTTGAAGTCCCTTCCAACCTGAATTAGCCTCTCCTTTTGCCAAGAAAACCCTACTACACTGTGCTGCAGAAAAGTGTCTTATAGCAGTTTTGGATTGACTGTGTAGATTGGGGCAGTTACATTTACTAGTGAGACTTTTATGATAAGTGTGCTAAGAATATATATTGACCCCCCCATCTTAAAAGCAGAATTCATTACCTGAGCAAAATGTTTGTGGATGCATTAGTTGATTCTCGGCTTAAGAGATAAAAGAAACATTGTTTTGCCTTTTTTTTCTTTTTTTTTTTAAATTCAAACATCTTATTTTTATCAAAGATAAAGGTAATTTTAGTAAGTAAAAAATAACTCATTATTATGCATAAACAATTCTCATCTTGGGCCTGGATGAATTAGTATTATTGTTGTTACTATTACAGCAATAGTAAAATACTGAAGAAAGCTGTGGATTTATAAAATATTCAAGACAGAGATGTGGCTGTACAACTTGTAGACAGGAAATGGGTTCTTAGTATTTTAATATGCAAAGTTATGGGGTGTTACTTCTTCACTCACCTTGTTCTGCTTATTTTAAAATTATAATTCTTAGTACATACGTAACTTTTTAATATACTCCTGTCTGTGGGCTGCCTTGTGCCATTGATTTTAGGCAAACTACCTATTGTTCTTAATAGGGAAATGTATTGATTTAAAAAAAAAAAAAAAAGTCAGTGGTGTGACATGGCTTGTTAAGGGATGTGGTTTTGATATGAAGCCAGTCAGGTAGCAGCTCGCAAGACCATTGCCCCTACAGAAGGAGCCTCTCGTTGCTGTGCCTGGGTGATAGGCACTGGAGCCCTTTGAGTTCCCAGCTCCTTGGTTCACCCTTTCCCTCTCGCGCTTCATTACTGGAATGAAGCCTGTGGCACACCCCCAACGCGAGCCCCAGCATGTTCCCAGTAGAAGAGTAGTTTTTCTGCTAAAACTTTCCATTACCTGCCTGAAATGTGACCTTATGCGTTAGGCTAGGCTAGTTGTGGAGGACAAAGGCAGAGAAATGAAAGGTTAGAGGCAGGTACCATCCTTGCAGGATGAGGGGAGTATCAGAGTGCCAGGAATTTAATGTGATATCTGTTCATCGTTACTATCCATTGCAGATAAGGGGACAGCTCATTGAAAGTGATTTTTTCAGGTGAACTCGCATGGGAAGTGCGCAACAGCTTATGACGTGCTTGTTGATAACCTTCGCTTCACGGGTGACAGGAGTTTCCAGGGACCAAGTTTCAAACCAATCTGTCTGCACCCTCAGTTTCAGGACTCTGACTCATATGTGGGAGCAGGTTAAAAGCTGTATGAAGCAATTATTTTCCCTGCTGCCTGCTTCATCCTGCTGACAGAGTTTGTGCCGCCATGCGCTGGGGGGACTGAATGTCTGCGGAGCAGTTCCTGAACGGCTGTGGTTTTAAGAGCTGTGATGAGCCAAACCATGCTCCAGAGGCTTGATATTGATGCATCCTAAAGTTAAAGCACTCAGTTTTGTCTCTGTATTTGTTATGGGGCGGCCTGCTTGCATAGTAGTTTTTTACAAGAATCCAAAGTGGACTCCTATTGTAGAAGTTGACCCAGCCAACATAGAATCATAGAATCATAGAATCGTCTAGGTTGGAAAAGACCTTTAAGATCATCCAGTCCAACCATTAACCTACACTACCAAGCCCACCTAAACCAATCAAGGGTAGACTAGACTAAACCATATCCCGAAGTGCCACATCTACCTGTTTTTTGAACACTTCCAGGGATGGGGACTCCACCACCTCTCTGGGCAGCCTCTTCCAATGCTTGACCACCCTTTCCGTAAAGAAATTTTTCCTAATTTCCAGCCTAAACCTCCCCTGGCACAGCTTCAGCCCATTTCCTCTCGTCCTAAACATGTTGAGTAGCCCTGCATGTTGTGTACAGTTGCCTGTTCTGCTGTTTGGTTGATACATGCTGGCATCTCAGTTGGACTTCATATTTGACTTTTTAATAAACAAAAAATTCCAGGGTCCCATTTGACTGACACGACACTACAAGTTTGAATTTTTGTTTTTGCAGTGATCAGTAGTTGGGAGTCAGCCCGGTTCCTCTCTGAAACTAATCTCGTCATGAGTTCACAGAGACACGGAGAGTTTGTTAAAAAAGGAATGAAAAATTGCTTATAGGCATTTTCCCACAACCATTGTAGGTCCAAAAAGTGAAAGCTGGTCTCAGAATTTATTTAATTTTTGTAGCTAGGGCTAGATTAATCTGCTCACTATTTTCAGTGCTCATTCCACTGCGGTTTATTTTGGGTCATTTAATTTCAACAAGGCTTGATCTGTTTACAGCGCTTTCTATAGTAGCGTGACGGGGCCACGCAGCTCTTTTATAATATGTTCATTGCTAACCAGGAGCTCAAAAAAATAGTAAATGAGGCACAGACATGAATAAGTTTAGAAAAGACAGTACATTTTTGTATGGTTGGATTATTTTGGAAAGTTTTCTGAAATAACCAATCTTTTGTGCACCATGGGTTGCTTTGCAGAGCTTGAAGTGATGGTATATAGTAGCCGTGTGCTTTCAGAGGTAAAAGTGGAGGGCTGGCTGAAGGCACTCTTCAGGCTTAAGGTACTTCAAAAGCCACTGTGGCTGAGAGTTGCTCTCAATCCTTATTTGAGGAGCACTTTTGTTTCCATAGGTAGATATTTCCATCAGGTAGAGTGGTTTGATTCAATTTTGCTGTTTCAATTTTCAAATTTGCTGTATGAACCATTCATATACAAAATAGATTAAGGTTAAATAGATCTCAGTAAAAAATGCCTTAATCAGTTGGCCTCATCAGCCAACACAAAAGCGTCTGCTCATTGCCTGCGCTGAGCATGCTCCAATTTAACATTATGAAGGCTATGGCCTTGTTCCCCCCGAATGGAAGAGCCAGCCGCCTTCTGTGTCCATCAAGTCGTGACTATTTCCGGTTCTGCTCATGCCAGCTGACAAAGTAACATTCATTTTGTGTACTTCATTAAACTAGATGGCAACCAGACAGCATTGGTGACTCGCACAACAGAATTCGGAGGGAAAGCATGATGTCCTGAAAATGGCTGCATCGATACTAGCAGGTTAAAACACCAAGAACTGTTCCTGAGTGCTGAGACCTTTTTTTCCTTAAATTTTTATCTTTCTTGAACTCTTCTAGCCTCTGCTATTTAGTATACTTCCAAGCAGTGGCCAGGCACAGTTCAGGAAAGGGCTGTTCTCAATAGCTTAGTAGTGTGGAAATAGCTACTTGCATTCCCGTCAGTTGCGGTGCAGGAGAACCTTCCTCAACGTGTTTAACTCACTCCTGTGTAGGTAGTTATTACATCCATATAGCAGACTAGAGGCAGAATCAGCAGGGTTTCGGTGTCTGAGTAAGAAGTGTAACATAAACACTGTTGTTCTGGGACATTCAAAGCGTATTGAAGGTTTTGTAGCTGTGTGTGTGCGCATATGCGGTGTACATGTGTACTGTGTGGTGTTCTTGCATAGAGATCTTAATGTTTTCTTGGCTATAGGAGGATATTCCTGCTTGGCTAGGAATTGTAAAGCCCTTATACCAGTGAATGGAAAGTTTAAAAAACACTTTTTAAAAACGTCTCAATTTAGAAACTTATCTTCAACAAGTTGAGTGTGTCAAATGCAGTTTGACTAATGCTCTAGGTCCTCTGGTCACAGCTCTTAAAACTTGGAGACTGTTTGTGAGCCGTGTCATTGAGGAGCTTCTGATCTCAGCGGGTTCTGCCCCGCAGCTGCACAACCTGCTGCTGCACCCTACGATTTCCCTTTCTGGGGGAAAACGTATCAGCGCGTCTTATGCTGCTCTACCTGTGTTTTGGTCAGCATGCACTGCTTGTAGAGGTATGCTGCATGTCCATCTCCTTCAACACAAGCCACCTCAGAGGTGACTGCCCACCCCTATTTTTATTGTCTCTTATTGTCTCATAACTGTCTAAAAATTCCTGGTTTCAGGTTGATAAGGAGCTCTCCTTTTGCTGTGTACCTTCAGATTTAGCTCCATGCACTGATTCTGAATTTAGTCTGCCAAAGTACCAGCTTGATTTCTGTTCTTTTATACTTGGATGGAAATAGTTCAAAGTTGTGCTGATGTAATAAAAACAGGAGGCCAGAAGGCAGTGAACTTGAATAAGGGTGAACGTATGAGAGAACACAAGCAGAGAGTGGCCACTTTAGAGCCTTACTGCCATGAACATACAATTATTTTTTAATATAATGTGCTTAAAAGCTGCATCTCTCTTAAAGAAAGTTTAAATTTGTTATTCATAATGTAATGTCATTTATAAAAACATTTATGTTGTGGTAATACCAGATACTCTAGCCAAGATACCATGAGAGGCAGTTCAGGGAGTCTGGATAATACTCAGAATATTAATTGTATAGCAGTGATCTGTACTTAACAATGAAGATGCCATCACCTATTTTCAAAGCCTTTCTCTTTTTTCATGGCTAATAACCTTAATGATCAATCAGAGGTAGTGGGCTGAGGCAGAGCTCAAGGCCATCAGCTCCTCCCAGCCGGCTACATAGTTCCCAGGAAACACCCTGTATTTCATTAGTTCTTGTTTAGTTTATAGTGTAATATTTTGCTCGAAGGCATTAAACTATCATCAAAAGCAGTAGACCAATTAGTGTGACTTCTTTTTCCAGGGTCGTTGTACAAGGGAGAACTGCAAGTACCTTCATCCACCAACACATTTAAAAACTCAACTGGAAATCAATGGCAGAAACAACTTAATCCAACAAAAAACTGCAGCAGCAATGCTTGCCCAGCAAATGCAGTTCATGTTTCCAGGGACACCACTACAGCCAGTGGTAAGTATATTTCTCTGATGGTGCTGTTGGTAAGTAAAGTCGAAGACTATATTGACCTGCAAAAGTTCTCTAAACTAGCGTCAATAAAAATAGTTCCCATCTGTTGACTTAAGGAATTGCCGAGATGCTAGAGAGACGTTCATTTATATTTGCATTTGAAGATACAATGGAGTGTTGCTGTAGATTTGATATATTTTTTTACCCCAGACTCATCTGCTTTTTTTTCTTTCTCTCTTTCTTTTTTTTAACTCCTTCATTCAGTTCATGTCAGGTTTACTCTAAATTTGCAAGATTTTTACCTATGATTCTTGTGGAGGCAAAAATTTGTATAATAATAATAATTGCTCGTAAGCTATTTGAGTAGGAGGGCAAAGTTCCACTCTCAGGAGTCTATGGGTTTGAGTGGTTTTAAATAGTATTTAATCCCAGTACCAGGAGCAAAGGTTAGTGTCATTCTGGGTAGCATTTTCTTACTCTTGAAATCTGAAGTGTCCCAGAATAAGACACAGAACTGCTGGAGCATACACTTTACAAACTCAGCATTTTATCTTAAGGTAATGCGTATGAGTGCCTGGGACACTTCAAATCCAGAAGGTAACGTAAAACTAGAGTCTTGCAGGCCTGAGCAGCAGGCAAGTAACCTGAATTCAACTTTTCACACATGGCTGCTAATGATGTTTTCCTCAATCTGAATGCCTGGTGTAAGGCACTGGGATGGGATTTCTTTCTCTAACTTGGGGCATCTGGAGTGTTGGCATCAACTTCTGCGCTGGGCTTCCAAGGTCCATTTATAGTTTATGAAAAGACGTAGGCACTTTTAATTACTATTCACTTGGCTTGTTTCAGATGTCTGCATTCAGATTAGATTATTTGGTTTTTTAAGTGCCTTCGTCTTTCCACGGGCTATCACAGGAGCCAACTGTAAGCATCTCAGAGGAAGACACCTGTATTTGGTCACAGGAAGCTCACCCCAGATGCCTTTTTCAAATGTGTTTTTTACACTTGAAACATCTGCTGTAAGGTGGGAGGCATGAACAAAAATTGGGTGTCAGGAGTCCCTGAATTTCTGGTACATGTTCATCAAAATGTATCTTGGTATGTTGGCATAATGTATTTTGATATTTCCTGGTTTTTTACTGCTAAAGTTTTCACCAGAAAAAGTTTTGATGAAGGACTAGATTCCACCTCTTAGTATTATGAGAAAAATTGAAGTGACAAAATTATACTTTTTTCTACTCACCCATTTCATCATTTGAACTTTATAATTTCATTGACGTAATGCCTTCTGTACTGATTGCTGTGATAGAAGTGCTGGGGTTTATTTCTCTGTCTCTCATAAATTGCCAGATTAAGATGACTCAGCCTTGACCAAATGGATAAAAAGTGAAAGAAAATTCCATAGAAGTCATTTGACATGTGGATTTATTCTTAAAATTATATCTGATACAAAGCTGTTATTTATATTTTACATAACCCATATTGTCCTCAACATAGCTGAACTGTTGTTTCATATGAATGTTCATTATTATGCTCTGAAGAATTTAGCTCGTGCTTGACATATAAACTGGGCAGTTTGATACCAAGCAGTTTTGATCTGTGATAAAACCAGAACGTTATTCACGTTTAACTCTCTAGGGCAGGTAGATGCCATTTCCATGCAGTTGGGTATCCTGGCTAATCTGTTGCTTAAAGCATCTTCTTGGTACTAACTCACATTCATTTATAATTTAGTAATTTGTTCCAAAGACAAAAAAAAACCAAAACCAAAACAAAACAGAAATAAACCTTCTAGCGCCTGTGCTTTCTCATGCATATTTTCTTCATAGTGTGCGTGGCTGGCTTCCCTTCTCCAACAGAGGCCATGCAGGCCACCTTGATGAGAAGGACGCTCCTCCTTTGTTAACTGTTTTTAAGTCTTTCCTTAGTGTTTTGCTGTTGCGAAGTTCACTTCTAGCTGCCCGTTTATTTGGGAACTTAATTTCTGACAAAGCTGATCTGAGATGTGTCCTGTTTTTCTGCATATTTTTTCTCCTCATTTATAATTATAGCTTCACTCTCTGAAGAACTAAAGCACTTTCCAGGTCTGACCATGGTCTGACCATGGTGATGCTCTGCCTCCACCCCCCATGGAGCTGGTGGTAACAAACCCACCATTCTGCCTTGGTAGGGCCGTGTTTTAGCATCACACAAGTGCTCTTTCTTCTGATCATGACTTCACTGACTCGCTGTAGGAAGGCATGAAACAGATTTTTAGACCTGTATCATTCCTTCCAATCAAATTTTTTCCTAAGATGAACTCTAGCTAAGCCTGAATAATCCCTTTCTAAATATTGTGTCCAGCTGAGATTATAATATTTATTCTGCTTGCCACTGGTGACAGCTGAGCACACAAACATTTGCAAAGGTGAGGTTTTTCAATGTGTGAGCCATAGTAACATATAATTGCAGGAGGTGGCAAAATACAGCATGCAAACAGATGGAAGTTACATGCCAAAGAGCTCATTATATATACTCTTATTAGAAATATGGCTTTAATATAGTTAATAACGCTTCACCTATGAAATCTGGTACTTTGAAAAACAGCCTGTTTTCCCAAGGAAAGCAAGTATTGAGAAAAAGCAATGAAGTCTATGTTATTTCTACTTTTAGGTGCGTAAATAAGCCTGCAGTGTAAGCTGGACCTCCATAGAGATGGAGGTTCAAAGTACGACTTCCTTTGCATTGGCAGCCTCTTTTCCAGTAATAGAGCTACAAGGGCGGTTCTTCGTATGCCACTGGAAAGTGTTATGTGATTAAAAGAAGAGAGTATGCCGTGTGCTTTGCCAGCTGTTTGAAATTTTTTCATTAAGAAAATGAATCAATGCCAGAAAGAACATGCAAAAGACAACTAAGTAAGCTCTTGATTAAGGGGTTGTTTTTTTTCATCTTGGTCTGTATTTTCCTTTTGCAGCCCACGTTTCCAGTGGGTCCCACAATAGGAACGAACACGGCTATTAGCTTTGCTCCTTACCTAACGCCAGTAACACCGGGAGTTGGCTTAGTCCCGACTGAGATCCTACCCACGCCGCCTGTCATTGTTCCTGGAAGTCCACCGGTTTCAGTCCCTGGTTCAACTGCTACCCAGAAACTCCTCAGGACTGATAAACTGGAGGTACTGTAGACTCCACCGTGACTAGAAATACAATTCTCTGTTAGGCTGTGTGAAAGATCCTGGAGGGAAAAACTCTATTGTTTTAGAAACGATGCTTAAATTTAGTTGCTACGAATGAAGACCTTGTAACCAGGCAGGATTTCTACACTTGCAGCCAGTGGTAATTAAACACTTATTTTTAAGGTAGTGCATTCGCTCAAATTTAATACACAGATATCAACATGAATTTTCATCTTTTGTAAAGTTCATCTCCTCCAAAACACCTCAAGTATACATGCCTGTAAAGGTATGCCTCGATGAAGTATCTAACAGGCACATTTTTATTGCAGTATTAATTCTGTCCCCATTTTTATGCATTGATATTAGGGGAATTTTATAACCTTATGGATCGATATTAGGGAAATGGTATAGCCCTTCAGCCTTGAGCTACAAATGGAGATGTTGAATGTTACCAACCCAGCAGCAGGCTGAATGGGCAAGCCCCCAGCTACGTGCAGAGCCTCTCTGGTGTTGATGGGTCTCCACGTGGCTGGGCTCAGTGGAGGCTGTGATCCAAGTACACGAGAAGGCCAAATGGCTCTTGCAGAAATGAATGTCCTTTCCCAAAAGCCTAAGCACTAGTGTCTAGAGCACGTTTCCTCCTAGGAAGATCAGAGCGTTCATTCTGCACATTTTTGAAAATAATTTTTGAGGACGTTCTCCATTTTGTTTGTAGACTCCATAAAAAAGACAGTGCACTTGATGCATATCTTCCCCGGGTCCCAGCAAGAGGAACTCCTTCCCTACCAGTGAGGCTGCAAGAATATAGTGTAGTCAGAAAAGGACTGAATATTTTGTGATTCCCAGCTAGTTTTGCAGGGGCAGTTACTTCAGTAATTATCCTTCCTAGGTGTTTTCTAGACAGAAAAAAAGAAAGGCACTTGGGAATGCTTCTGTTGCATGTCAAGTTCATTTAGCTGCTGTACCGCAGAGCTACCTGAGGAGCCAAGCACGTAAGGGTAAAATAGATGCATTTCCCTCTCCCAGAAGAAGATGAAGGGTTTATTAAATTGAATTTGTGGAAAAACTTGAACTAACTGGGGAAAGGGGCAGGTCTGTCTTTTGGGGGCACGGGGCTCTCCCTGCCCTTCCGCGTTGCACCGAGCTCTTCCCCTGCAACGCGTGTTGTTTTGCACGTAGGTGTGCAGGGAGTTCCAGCGGGGAAACTGTGCGCGTGGAGAGACTGATTGCCGCTTTGCGCATCCGGCAGACAGCACAATGATTGACACAAACGACAACACCGTAACCGTGTGTATGGATTACATAAAAGGTCGTTGCATGAGGGAGAAATGCAAGTATTTTCACCCTCCTGCACATTTGCAGGCCAAAATCAAAGCGGCGCAACACCAAGCCAACCAGGCTGCGGTGGCAGCCCAGGCAGCTGCGGCAGCTGCGACTGTGATGGTAAGTGCTGGCATATATGGCTGCCTTTTTTTGACAGAAGCTCTTTGATGCCTATTTTGCTTCAGTTTAATGCTGTTTGCTTATACTTTCTTTTGTCTTTTGCCTTTTTTTTTTTTTGTAAAAGATAAGAATTTATAAAACTATTACTATTGCTTGATGGGAGGAAGCACTTTTTTTCTTTATGCCCTTATTTTAATGCTGTGTTTCTAGCCAAGACAGTGAAGCAAATGACACTTCATACCACTTCTGTTCTCTGCCTTGATTCTATGTTAAATTTGCCCCTAGTATTTCCGAGCAGAAATAAAACTGATAAGCTTCAATGTCCCCTAGAAAATAGGGGCACATATGCTGTTTTAGCTCTTTGATGATAGATATACACGTGGAAATTTGGAAGAAAAGGAAGAAAAGCAAAGAGAGAGATTTTGCCTCAGAGATTGGCAGTAGAAAAGAAACCTGTGTTAGGATTCAACTCGCCCCACCTTAGATGTCAGACAGTTAGATAACTGAGCCTAGCCTAGCCACCTTGGTCTCACTTTATAGGTAGTGGAGAAAAACCAGCACATTCGTGTGATCTACCACTAGTGCTTGTCTGAGGATGAGAAAAAAATGCCCTCTGTAGATACAAGTCTGTCCACACTGACTAAAAAGTGTTGACTATATCTTTTTGAACTTTGGTTAGATGAATCTCACACCCAGAGACTTCTCTTGCCTATCCCACTGTCATGGGCAAGTTACTTGAATCTCTCTATGGTACAAGTTTTCTATTAGAAAAAACAGGGTTTAAAAGTAGTAAACTAAAATGGGAATCATTAAGAAAAAGCATAGTAACTATAGTCAGAAGAAAAGAGGTTGAGGGCTTTCTATTTTCAGATATTTTAAGCTCTTACTGAAAACTGTTCAGGCAAGTCAGCCCATCCATTTACCAGTTATTGAATATCTCTTACGGTTGCTACCAGGAAAGTTGATAAATTTAAATGGAGTGGTATTGATAAAGTTAAATAAATCGAGCATGCAGGATCTGACTTGGGAGACAGAATTGCTGGCAGCAAATCAAAGAATCATTGTCCTCATTGCTGGCAGTGAACGAATAATTAAGCAGATGTGGTTTGTGGACTTGTGGGCAGTGCATACAGTAGTTATAGACAATACAGTTATTCTCTGGGTAAAAAGCCTACCAGAAACACAATACAGTACAGTATATAACTACCCGAAGCTATTGTATTTAGCAAATTAGCAAAGACCAGACTTTTTGAGGGTCAAAGGTTAAGTTATGCAAGAAAATAAACCTCCAAACAGAAGAACATTTCTGAAATTTTAATATTCTTTCTCTTATAGTATCCCCAGTCTCTGTTTCAAACTGGGTGATTTTTAATTAAACTTTCCTGTGCTTGCAGAAATTGAATACCATCTGGAAATTAAAGCAAAGGAGATTGGTTTTTTATTCTAATTAGCTTCTACTGTGCAATATTTATTGTCCATTTAGAGAATGTAATATTTCTAGGCAATATACTAAAGAAGAAAGGAGAGAGATGAGGGGATCCACTTTTTTGTGCTTCAGTGATGGTTGGATACATATCCTGTGATTTTAAGTAAGTCGTAATTGGAATTGCATTAGCCTCAGAGCAAGATGAAGCATCTTTGGAAACACAGAATTGAAATGTTAGCATTCTAATGTCACAGGAGAAGAAGGCAGGGACCTGTAATTCAGGGTAACTTTTTGCAGAAAAGTATGTACAAAATATTTTAATGGCATATTTAGACTACCGAACAGAAAAGATTCTTTACAATCCAACTATTTTTTGTTTAATATAGATTTGAAACAATCAGATAGTGTGAATGAAAAATCACTGGAATGGCCATAGCAAACAAAGAAGTGGTAGAAAAGACACATGCCTGCAAGGCCACCCAAGAATGACCAAGATTACTCAGTTGGCTCTAGAGAGCAAAAGTAAGGCAGAAATACAAATGCTTACCTGTAGGGTTCACTTGCAGGTTGCTCCCAGGTTGAAATTGTGTCCAAGAGGTTTTTCTTCCTAGCTGGGGAGCTGGCTGTATTGCTCTGGTCCAGAGGGTGCTTGTGTAGGTGAGCATAGGTGAAGATAGAGTTAGAGCACTGTAGGCAAAGCTTGTAAGACCATTGAAGGTTAATGAATACTGCAGCCTGGGACCTTGCAGAAAATGCTCTGTCTATATTTCTGTACATTGAAGTTTAGGAATTTCTAGTCAGGTATCTTAGGTGACCCCATCATTTCAAGTCAAAAGAAAGAGGAAAGACACTGTAAAAGAGGCTGTAGACCACGTATAGCTTAAATATGAAGTGCATTAAAAGGCAGCGTTATATATCATTGTACTTGGGGAGCTCCAAATATTCATGTGGTGCATCAGAGAGTAAAAAGTCACTGAAGAATGTACAGCCTAAGTTAAAATGTGAATTCATAGTTGGTGTTGGAAAGGACCTCTGGAGATTGTCTAGTCTAACCCCCCTGCTCAAGCAGGGTGAGCTGGAGCAGATTGCCCAGGACATGCCTAGTTGGCTTTTGAAAGTTTCCAGGAACAGAGACTCCACAACTTTTCTGACAACCTGCTCCATGGTTAAATAATGCTTACAGTAAAAACAAAACCAGAAACTTACATTTAAATGGAATTTCTTGTATTTAAATTTGTTTCCATTGCATCTTGTCCTGTCACAGAGCACCGCTGAGAAGAGTCTGGTTCCATCTTTACTTCCTCATCAGGTATTCATATATGCTGATGAGATCCCCCTGCATCTTTTCTTCTCTAGACTGAGCCGTCCCAGCTCTCTCAGCCTTTCCTCATATGAGAGGTGCTCCAGTCTCTTAATCATATTTGGGGCCCTTTATGGGACTGTTTTCTAGTACGTCCATGTCTTTCTTGTGCTGGGGCGGCCAGACCTGGACATAGTGCTCCATATGTGCCCTCACCAGTGCCGAGGTAGAGGGGAAGGATCACCTCCCTCAGCCTGCTGGTGATGGTCTTCCTAATGCAGCCCAGGATGCTGTCTACTGCCTTTGGTGTGAGGGAGCATTGCTGGCTCGTGTTCAACTTGGGTGTCCACCAGGACCTTGAGGACCTTTTCTGCCAAGCTGCTTTCCATCTGGGTGGGCCCCAGCATGTACTGGTGCCTGGCGTTGTTCCTCTCCAGGTGCAGGGCTTAGTATTTCCCTTTCTTGAACTTAGTGATGTTCCTCTGTGCCCATTTCTCCATCCTTCCCAGGTGCCTCTGAGTGGCAGCACATCTATCTTGTCTATCAACTACTTCTCTGAGTTTTACACCACTAATGACTGGCCTCCAGCTGGACTTTGTGTTTCTGATCACAACCCTTTGAGCCTGGCAGATGAGCCAATTTTCAATCCACCTCACTGTTTCCTATTTAGCCCATACTAAATAAGTTTGTCTATGAGGATGAAATGGTAGACGGTATTGAAAACCTTTCTGAAGTCCAGAGAAACAACATCTGTTGCTCTCCCCTCACCTGCCACGCCAGTCTCATCGTAGAAGGCTGTCAGGTTGGTTAAGCATAATTTCCCCTTCATAAATCTGTGCTGACTACTCCCCGTCACCTTGTTGGCTTTCATGTGTTTGGAGATGGTTTTCAGGAGGATTTGCTTGATGGCTTTCCCAGGGACTGAGGCGAGGTTGACCAACCTGTCATTCCTCAGACCTTCCTTCCTGCCCTTTTAAAGATAGGAGTGTCATTTACTTTCTTACAGTCTTTGGAAACTTCCCCCAGCTGCAGTGACCTTTCAAATATAATTAAGAGTGGCCTTGCAGTGACATCAGCCAGCTCCCTCAGCACCCGTTGGTGTATCCTGTCAGCTCCTATGGGTTTGTGTACCTCCAGTTTGTTTAAATGTTCCCTAGCCTGATCCTTCTCCTCCGAGGGTAAATCTTCCTTGCTTCAGACTTTCCCACTGGTCTCCCACTGGCCTGAAGGCCAGTCTTACCAGTAAAGGCTGAGGTGGAGAAGAAGTTCAGTACTTCAGCCTTTTCCATGTCCTGTGTCACCAGGTCACCTGCGCCATTCAACAACGGGCCTACATTTTCCCTTGTCTTCCTTTTGTTGCTGATATACTTGGAGAAGCCCTTCTTGTCCTTCACATCCCTTGCCAAATTCAACCACAGGTGGCCTTTGGCTCTCCTAACCCATGCCTGCATGCTCAGGCTGTGTCCCTATTCCTCCTGGGGCATCCATCCCTGCTTCTACCTCTTGTGTGCTTCCCTTCTTGCATTTGAGTTCAGTCAGGAGCTCCTTGCACATCTGTACAGGCCTCCGCCTGTGTGGATCTTGCTCATATTCCCAGAGATAGATATTACAGTGTACCAATGTGACATATGGCAGACAAATACTATGCCTAAGTATGTTTGATCATTTTTATTATTATCTTTATTTCCTTTCCATAGCCTTTTCCTCTCCAGTCTGTAGCTATTGATTTTCTGGGTTGTTAGTTATGTAGGAGATCAAATGTTGAGCAGGAGATGTTCTGATGGAACAGAAAGAGGCAAAGGAGGTTTTACTATGAGGACAAAATGAAAGAAAAGGTGAAGGTGGGAGAGAATAATGGACAGTCAGTCTGAAAGCCTGAAAAGAGGGGACGACTACGTGGAAACAAGGTTGATGAGTAGGTCTAGAAACAGATCAAGTTAAAGCCTTCAGGCTGGGAAGACTGTGAGACTGAACTTGCTGTGGAAGATGAGGGGAGAGCCAGCAAAAAGCTTCAAAACAGGGAGGTGAGGTTAAGAAGAGCATGGAGAAGTGGAGAAAGGCAATCATAAACACAGAGATAATAAGCTAACAAGTGTGATCAGATAAGATCTGCATTTACATAATAAAGGTAATTAACTGAAATGCTTTACTCTTAATGATGTTGATTTGAATTTGTGGACTTCATCATCACGTAATGCTGAATTCAGTTGTAATGCTTCACCTCCATGTAGACTTCCATCCGTGGTGGATGCAGAGTGGATCTGAGGCTGTGCCCCATGCAGATGGAGTGATGTCCCCCATGGAGGTGTCTATGGGGGGTACCACACATCAGCTGTGCAGCGCACTGCTTAGATGCAAGAAGGTGCTCCAGATCCTCAGTTTGCACCAGGTGTTTCTTGCTATGTCTCAGGCTTGGACCCAGAGAGGTGAGCAGATCCTGTAGATCAGGGTGTGTAATCCAGAAGTGTGCTGAAGGAGAGATGGGGTGGCCATTGGGAAGCCTCATGCAACGTAGGTGCAACCAAGCCAGGAGCAAGGAATAGGCAAAGCGAGGGCTATCCTGCAAAATACCCTGTTGGCGCTAGCTGATCTTGTGACCCTAAGCTGTTTGTAGGCATTTTGTGCCTTGTCCTCTTTTGTTTTTTTTCACTTTTGTTCCCTATTTCCACTTACTAATGTCAAGATAGGCATAACCTGCATATCCTAAAAAGAGCTAAATATCAGCCTGTGTTTAAAAAAAAAAAAGTAAAAATTCTGATTTCTAAGTAAATCTTCCTTTCCTTTCTAAAGGTTTGTAAGAATTATTTACACTATAAAACTTGAAAGTAATATTTTGTATGAGAAGATTTTTTACAGAATACCATCATATCAGTCATAAGTTTGATCTTACTATGGAAGTATACATAATTGTATATGCCTACGTACTATGCCTAAATATTTTCTTTTAAAAAAAATAGTAATGCTGGACTAGTATCATAACTCATACGTTAATGTTTGCTTATGAACTGAGAGCAGTATTTTTATTCCGTGCTCCTGAAGCTAGTACTGAAGGTTGTAGCAAAATTTAGAAAATAGGTTTTAAATTCTGAAAGACTTTTTTCCCTCTCAATGTAATGTGGTAAGTTACAAGGAAAAAAAATCTGCGAAAATGACCCAGCTGTAGGGGAAAAAAAGGAATTAATGATAAGTTAGTGTAACTAGACATATTACTTATTCTGCTTTGTATTGGAAAAGGAGAACCTCTGTCATTTTGAACCCCAAATCTATTGAATGACGCACTTCTCTTAATTAAAAGACCCTCACCTTGCAAGCACTGATATTAATAGCATTTGTAATGCCTTACAACTTTCAGTAGTGCTTTGTATTTGAAAATGTAGCCTTCCAAATTGATTTTTCCGCTTTAAAATGTGACTTAACTAACTTATCAGGAATTCTTATAGGCGTATCCTTACAACATTCTGCATCTCTGTGAAGTGTTTATACGATGCTTAATAGTGTCTGCAAGCTGCTGTTTTACTCAACTTTCCTGAATTTCAAACATCTATATTTTACTCTCTTATATGCTTTTAACTAAGGTATAGTAGATGCATTTTTGCTTCGGTACTAATTCGAAATGTAATATTCATTTCTTTAGAAGACATTTTTGTTGTTGTGCATGCCTAGTGTTTTGTATGTTGTATATTGCATTCAGAATATTTTTTTCCTTCTCACCTATCCACAAATGCAATGCCGTTCCCATGATGCACCTCTGCTTGCTGTTTACCTGTATGTTAATTCGCTTGAATCCCATTGGCCCACTGCCATCATGTGCTCGCTGCCTGTTATTAAAAGACTCAGTCGACTGCCAAAGCAATGAAGCGACCTCTCGAAGCAACTGTAGACCTGGTACTTTGACCTTTCACCTTTTGCTTTGCATGTAGCTTTTTTTTTTTTTTTTCAGAGAAGCAACTAATGAAATTTGTATCGCTTTACTTTTGAACATCAACTGGAAATGATTTCACATACTCGTTAATTTACCAGAAACTCTATCCATCTCATTCTCATACGTAATAAACGCAGACAATTTAGTTTGGTTCCTAACATGGTTTCATTTTTTTAAATATCCTCTCATGAAAAGTCGAATTGAGATAAAACTGCTTCTGTAATTGAAAACGCTTAACGTAATCCATTAATCTGTATAATAATAGGAAACAATATTTAAATTAAAAAAAGAAAATACTTGGCAATGAAACACAAGTGGTTTTTTCTCCCTATAATATTTGAAAACCTATTTAAAGGCAATGTCATTTTCGTTGCTTTAAAGGCCTTTCTTTTCAGTAGTTGTGCTGCTACAGTTTTAGGTTAATAGTACCACGCTTTTGCTATCAATAACAAAATTTCACTCATTTTACATTGCTGTGCTTTGAGTTAATATGCATGGCGAGGCATCTTTAGCTGCTTTAAAAAATAATAAGTTTTTGTATTTATGTATAAGTTACAGACAACGTCTTAAAAATGACGCCGTTTTAACTAACTTTCTCATTTACAGGCCTTTCCTCCTGGTGTTCTTCACCCTTTACCAAAGAGACAAGCACTTGAAAAAAGCAATGGTGCCAGTGCCGTTTTCAATCCCAGTGTCTTGCACTATCAACAGGCTCTTGCCAATGCTCAGTTGCAGCAACATGCAGCGTTTATCCCAACAGGTATGTTGTACCCACATTGAACCAATTCTGTGTTCCTTAGGTAAGCCTCCGTGTCAGGCAGTTGCACTTAACAGAAGGTTTTATTACGCTCCCTGCCCTACTTGAGGTAAAGTCTGCACAGATATTTACAGGTTATTTTAATTCCTCCTGCAAAGTACGAGAATTGAAGGAGAAATTTCAACATGATGTTAGGCTGCTTTTCACATTCATAGCTTCGTTCATCATTGACCAGAGTTTTCCCCCCTTTTTCCTACCTTAAATTGGCTGTATTTTGACTTTTATCTGCCAGCGCCCTCCTAGGAGACAAGAGGGCAAAGCTCCGCTAACAAAAATGCTGGGAAAAGCATGACGCTTCAGAGATGCCACGGGAAGTGTGCCATGGCCGAGGCGCATCCTCCTGCTCCCTCGGGAGCTGTTTTGCAGCCGTGGGGATTACCCCAGCTGCGCACGAGCCGAGCAAGAAGGGGAGCACCAGTCGATGCCTGCATGGAAGCACTGGCAGAACACATCGCTCCCCGCAGCCGCACTAAAGGGCTTTGAGGCATCAAATGTGTTTTCGTAGTTTTTATTTTGGAATGCCACTAGAACTTTTCCGAGCATTTGCGGCTAGTGGCTGGCGTTATAATTCTTCATAGGGGTGATCTGAAGACGAGTGAACATAATTTGCATTTCAGTGCTCGGAACTCTGTAAAAATCAGAGCATTCAGAGGTGGCTTGAACTGCACCGTGGCTGGTGGCAGGGCTTGCTCTTTAACACTGCAGAAGAAAGCATGTGCTAGGTACTCGTGTAAACTATAACAACATAACCCTCTAAATTATGTCAGTCACCCCCACTCCAAACTTCCCAAAGGTAGATATCCTACCTAACGAATTCTGTGATTTCATTTGTAATTAACAAATTACATATTTTAGTATCAGAATGTTATCGAGTGTGAACTTCCAGATTCGTTTAAAACTACGTGTTTGCAAATGCACTTGACATTTCAGCGATGTTATTTTAGTTTATAGAAATAATGTCGGTTAAACAAGGGATGGAACGCAACACACGATGATTTCCCAATCTATCAGCATTCCCATATGTTTTTAAAGATAAAAACAAACACAGATGGCTTTGACTTCATGGAATTTTGCTATAAGGCCTGAGTAACAACCTTGGAGCCTGCCCCTGTATTTATAATAGTAAGTTATAGCATGCCGTATTTTTAGCACATTGGTGCACCAGAATATCTGTGGCAGAAAACATACTGACATTTATGGGAGTGTTTGAAAAAAAAAAAAAATAGTGAGATTGCCTATTTGGACATGAATGGAAGACTGCCCTGTGCTTACAAACATACAGAAATTTCCACAAATTTATTCTACGCTGTAACCCTGAGAATTTGCAGTATGATATGCATTATTCCTTCTCTTAAGCACTCCCTTTCAGGGCTTACCGCTATTATTTGCAATTGCCAAGGATTTAAAATTAACTGTGGAAAATACAGTAGTTTAAACCTTTTCCAATGAAATAGCATTTGGATATTTTCCAGACTTTTGGAGTGCTCATGCTTCCTTAAGTAGCTTATTCTTTGTGCTTTTTGTTGTCCATCCCTCTTCCCAACTAATAGTTGTAATTATAGTCTTATCTTACAAATTTCTGACGGTAGGAAGGGTGGCTCTTGGAACCAAACCTTGAGGGCCAGGTTGTTGGCAAGCCCCAAAACAAGTGCATGAAAAAAGAAGAAACGGAGGGATAAGATAGCAGATGGAGCCCAGGCCCAGCATGGAAAACCTTTCTCATGGTGCCGAACCTCCTGCTCTTTGTGCAGCACCTAGAAAGGATGTTGGAGAGAGGAGTGGGGTATGGGAGGAGCTTAGGAAAGGGGAACCCCATCTATATGAGTGGGTCTCATGAGTTTTTCATTAAAGATGCTACGCCTGATATTCCCACATTTCCTGGGCAGGTTGGATTTGGTGGGTGTTAGGACCGTCATGCCACCCAGGTCGAAGGAGCAATGCATGACATTATCTGTTGGATTTTAAATGATGATGTGATATTTTCTGAACTGGTATAATTTTCAAATGTGTTCCTTGTGTGTGTTAAGTTAAATTTTAAGACAAGTTTTGCTGCTGGAATATATATAAAACTTAATTGTTTTATATAACTTCTCTGCTTTCTTAACCACTTGCTCCCCTAATAAAGTGTGGGGCTTGACTTAGCATGGCTTACTTCTGAAGTTCTGCACTTTGTTTGTTTTACATCAGTTTGATTGCTTTGTCACCTTCTCCTTATTGTTTGGTGAATGATCTTAAAATCAACAGATCTTTTCTCTCTTCCCATTGCTGTTTGTTAGTGTTTCTGTAGCCTCTAGAGGAGGAGCTTTGTGTATTCTCCGGGGACTGTTCTTGGGTAAGGTCATTCATAGTTACACTGCTACTGCAATGGTCCGATAAGGGGCTGCTGTAGTAATTAAGCAGGAATACAGGAAACATATTTGACCTTGTATCAAATATGCATGTACCTGCAACTAGTCTCCTTACCTGCTCACCTTCACCAGCTTGCTATATGCACTGTACTGAAAATATGCTATTCTCTTTTTTTTCTTTTTTTTTTTTTTTTCTTTTTCATTTGGTCTTCCCAGAAAGGTTAAAGGTGGACTAGGCACCAAACCTAAACTGCATGGCAGGTGAGCAGTCCTTCCAGAGCATCTTTGAGGTGTTGAGGTGTACTGGGAGCCTTTTGCTGGAACATTACACACTTTGAGGTGTTTAGCTTGGGGAGTGGTCACAGGAGTGTTTTCTTTGGTCAGAAGCACCTCTCCATCTCAGGTGTTATGTTAAGAACAAGTACATTAAATTTGGCAAAGCCCCCGCGGAACAATATTGGCTAATTCCATTTTAACGTCTTTCTCTGCTGCACGTCAAAAAGTCGGTGAATGTTGATCTGCGCAACATTGAGCTGTCTGAATTATGCAATGAGTTCTAAAATTCCCAGATAATGTGATATTTAACCAAAGATGTGTAATATTTAACCAGAGGTGTTTCTATAAATGAAAACCTGTTGCTGCAGAAGTACTAAGTGAAAGAATAAAGGTACTAAATAAAAAAGTTTATGAAGTATCTTGTATATACACAGAAACATGCCAAAAGTCACGCAGTATACTCAGGTAGGAGTTTAGTAAGAACATAATCACCTTTTTTGTGTTAAAGCAAAACTATGAATGACCTTACAGTTTCATTTAACTAACTTACTTCTCTGTGGTTATGCTTGAATCTCACTTTGAATGTTAACTCTAAATGGCTAACCTGTTTCTTCCCTTTATCCACTTTTTTCACCTATCATTGCATGACACGCAGGGTCAGTTTTGTGCATGACACCCGCTACCAGTATTGGTAGGTTCCAAATTTCTTTATTGATCTCTTTTTGTATTGTATATGATGTATATTCAACTTGTTTCAAAAATGGTAGGCGAGATTTAGACAATGACTAGAATTAAAGGTTCGCTTGTCCTTCTGGTTGACTTTGCAGAGTGTTTAGATTTGCAGATGAAAGCCGCAGTTCAGATGTAATATCACCTGCTATAACAACTACACTGCAAAAGCATAATACCATGAATTCCAGTCTGCTTTTCAGTTTTCAAAGTTTTATTTCTCTTTATAATTTATACTGTCTAGTACTATAAAATCATAAAATACTGGAAAAAGCCAGCAAATTTCATCAGTGTTTTAAAGTTTCATAGTGGTGTGCCTATTTCTCCTTTTTGCTGTGTGTTAGAAAGTTTTATCAGCGTTTCCCAGAAATGCCTACTTTGATCCACAGAGGTTCTGTTGAAACCTGGGATCTGAATCTCGCCCCTCCTTTAAATATATTTGCAGCTTGGACTTAACATTTTGGGCATGGAAAAATGGAAGTCCAGTGCAACAGCCCCTGAGACAGAAAAGTAATCTTTCTTCTATTCTATAGCCCTATCCCAGTGATTTTTTTTTTTTTGTGGGACTACTCAGATAAGCAGTTAAAATATCAAGCCTTTAAAACATCAAGTTGATAATTCTCCCATGAAGATGCTGATTAAAATTCATTCTTAAAATGAGCAAAAGCAGCAGCTTTCACAAAATCGACCTTGCTTTTTTAGATCAAACAAAGTAGTATTTAAATCAGGAAAATTATTATCATCCTTCTCCTGATTTTTGCCTCAAAGCAGACGGTAATTTAACTCTGATAAAGTCTAGCAGTTATGCAGTGCTAGTAGAAAAAAAATGCATAAATTGAATTGTAAAGGAAGACAGCGAGTATCTGGCTTACTTCAAAAAGAAGATACATGAAAATAATTCATTTTTTAATTGTGTTTAAAAATTAAGATAAACATTTATCAGTTTCCTTCCCACTGTATTTTTTTTAGCAGAATTTTATTTTGGAGTGCTTTATATTGATACTGGGGGAAAACAAATTGCCCATGTAACAATTCTCAGGTAACAGGCTATTTTGGTAGAGGCCTCATTTGCACAAGTAATCCTGTTCTTAGAGATAACACCCGCATTTTCAATGGTCCTTGTCCTTTTTTCTGGGAATCGCCGATCGTGTTGACAACCTTCCTTTAATTGTACTTGTAATAAGCTATTTTCCCTTTTTTTTATTTCTCCGCCACGCTTTCTCGCTTTGCACTGTGATTGCATGCCATCTGCCGGTTTAACCCATGACGATGGCTTGCCGCTCTTGATATTCACCATGCCAAAAATACCACTTCTCTTACCATAATGCTGCACCCTCCTGTTCATTGCTTCCATGGTTCCCCTCCTGAAAGTACCCATGATGCACAACGCTACGGCCGCCACTGTCTCTGCAGCAACAACTCCTGCAACAAGTGTTCCCTTCGCCGCAACAGCCACAGCAAATCAGGTTTGCTCCTTTTAAAGCTTTCTTTCACAAGATCCCGAACTCTAAATGAGTGCTGAGATTTTTATTTTAATTTTTTTTTTAACAAAAAAAATTCTCCCGGAGAATTTTTTTTTTTTTCCTGTGTTTACCCCATCAAATTTTACTTTTATTTTTAAGTCGTTTATAGCAAGTGTTTGTGGGACAGGTTGCACTTATTTAGAGTTAACATTTGTTGCAAATAATGATGTAGCTGTGTTTTGTGTTGCGATGTTTGTACCTAATTACTGTGTAATTAACCCAGCTGGAGTTAGAATCACCGTAGTACTGGACTACTTACAAAAGCCTATTATTAACTCCTAAGTTCAAAAGGAAGATCATCACAGGTTTCAAACGGTTCAGGTGTGTTAATGTAGCCTTCTCCATGCCGTGTGTGGAAGTGACTAATTTGTAAGCAAGGAAGCTGCCTAAAATCACAAGCGGGACAAGGTAGCTGGAACAAAAAAAAAAAAAATAGAAACAAAATTGTATGTTTTCTGTAAATGCTAGTGATCAAAACAGCACTTGAGATATTTATGACCATGCCTGCTTTATGTTTGCAAGTGTCTTTTTAACCTGGGAATTATATTTCCCCGAGGAAGGACGTTGTTACGAAGAACCGGTAGGGTTATTGGCAGAGGCAGGCCAGGAAAGATGATCCTTTCTCTTTTTCTTCTGCGGTTTGTTACGTTAATGGCAGTTTTCATGTTGGTAGGGTTTCCCCCTCCTCCTGGGACCTGATTCCCAGGGAAGAGGTATCTGTTGCAGCTCTGAGTGTGTAGCTTTGACTCCTCCATTGGGGCTGTAGAGATTCCCACCCTGACACGCCTGGCATCTGCCCGGAGAGGGGCTTGCGCAGCAGCTGGGTCACTCTGGCTTTTCTGTTGCTTCAGGACCACGCTCAGGCACTTCCCCCTGAGAGCTGTTTTCCCTCAGGTTTTGAGAGGTCAAACTGAGGAGGAAGCAAGCAGATTTGCTCACCGAGCGAAAGCAAAGGGCTATGGCCCCGTCACCTTTCCTTGTGTTGCTCCTGGCCAGACCGACAAGCTGTTGCAGACCTAGTAGAAACGCTCACCCGTTGATTCATTCCCCTCCACCTGCCAAGGAATTACAAAGAAATCAGTCAAAATGCTTTGTTTAGTAATGTTATACCAGCAGATTTTTTTTTTTTTTTTTTTTTTTTAACTGTCAGTCCCAAAACTATCTAAGTATCCCATGGAAAAACAGAAGTTGTTGCAAGAGTTTATTTATAATAATTTAGGAAAAATATACTACCTCTGAAATACACCCTACTTTCTTAAAGAAACAAAAACCAGTCCGTTTTCTCTGGTTTTTTTTTTTAAAGGCTCTTTTGCCAACATTGTGGTGTTTGTGCTTCTAGCATTTTCATCAAAAGAGGTTTGTCGTTTTGTGCGTTCTTTTCTGAGAGCTAGCTTGTTTTAATGAAAAAATGCTTGGAACAAGGAAGAAAGTGCAGCAGGCAAATGGTGCATTTCACTGTCCTTCCCAGAACAGCATCTGCAGCAGAAAATTGTTTGGTGGTATCCAGTGTAGTTTTGTGATCCCAAATTGGTGACAGAGGGACTTGAAGATGCCAAGGGACTATGAGAAAACAGGGCGGTTTGGGGAGGGGGTCAGCTGGGGCCCCTCTCCAGCACGGGAGTGCAGCCAGGGCAGCTCCACCACCTGCACTCCGGAGCGCCAGAGGGGCCGACTGTGGCTGAAGTTGAATAAATACATGTACACCTACAAAAGGACCAGTAAGCAGTCTTTTTTTTTTTTCATTAATGGGAATACTTTCACACGAGTACCTAGTGCCACTGGGGAGACATAGGTGTGCCTTAATGCACTTTCTCATCTAGCAGGACAGCAGGCAGAGCCCCTCCTTTCCCAGTGCAGATTTTGTTTGCATTGGAGGATTAGAGCATTTTAAATTTAACAGGAGTTGTAAAAAGTATCTGTCTGTATTTATTTACTTGCATATATTTGTGTGTGTGTGTGTGTGTACATATAACTCCATGCTGAAATTAAAGGATAGTTTAACACGGGGATGGGTTTCCACTTTTTTAGCTTCAGCCATTTAGAAGTTTGGCATCTAGTTCATCTGCTTTTCTAGAAGCCCGTGTTAGGGCAAGGTAAATTGCCCTGGAGGGTCCTGCCTCTTTCTCTTGCCTGTGGAAGGAGCGTAGGTGCGTAACCAAAGCTCTGCACCACTGCACATGGAGGAGATGAGTCCCACCCCAGCAGCTTTTCTCGTTGGCTTCTGTAGCGTGTGCCATCGCTGTCTTTTTCAACTCACTCCTGTCTTTGTTTTAGTCATTGTAAATCTTTAAAAGCTACTGTAAAAAAACTGTGTATTTGAAAGTAGGGAAAGTAGTAGCAGTTACTTTTTCTTTATAAGAGGCAAATCTCCAAGTTTGTTGTTTATTTACAACCTCCTAAGAGTTGGAGACAAAGCTACAACACTGGGAAAGGCCCCATAGTAACTCTGTGGTCCTAACTCCCAGTATTTCTTTAGCCCAAGAAACGTAGAAGGAACAGGTAATCAACTTGGGTTAAGAATTTGTTCAAGGTCGTAACATCCTTTGTGTCCTCTTGTATGGATTTAAACTCTCCTGTGTATTTCAGAAAAGGGCTTTTTTATTCCCATCTAGATAAAACTTCCTTTCCTGGTCTGTGCCACACTGCTTTACATATCTGTGGGGTACGGATTCCTCTTGCCAGTGTCTCTACCGCACTTTTTTAATCAACCTGCAGCCTTCAGCCCGTCCCATTTCAGCTTCTCTTCACAATGCCAGGCACAAAAAGAAAGTTGTAACAGGGCTTAATCATTTAGCTGAATATCATTGGTTTAGTATTCTGGCCTGGGGAAAGATTGCTGGACTTCCTTGGGTTGAGTGTGGTGATCCCGGTGTCCTTGAAGCACCAGTGGAAGGAAAAGTCAACATCCCCAAAGTTATGGAGTCTCAGCTGATGGCTAAAAAAAACCTAACAGCTCTGTTGGGTCCAGTAAATTATTTAGTATGTGCTGTCAGCTTGTATTTTGAAAAAAGATGAACTATGTCTCATGTCTTCTGTATGCCCTTTCTTTCTGAAAATAACATGAGTAGTAGCTCAAAATGTGCCTGCATTGACACACGCACTGTCAGTCATGCTTGGCTAGCAACTCTATGCATTGTGCATTCAATATATGGCACAAGGCACGTGAGGAGATTGTGTAGGGTTGAATGGTATACCATAGTACATCCATGCAGGGTGGCACCAGTTAAGAACATGTGGAAAATTGGAAGTCTCTTGCTTTTCCTGACTTCTGGAAGTTAGGTTTTAAAACCAAAATAATTTTTTTGCAGCGTACTTCAGAGGGGAGGAGAATCGCTTTGAGTCAGCGCAATGAAAACAGGATGGGTTAAAAGTGCTTTAGCAAACCCTGTTTTACAAATCCTGATTAAAAAATGACTCAGTTGATACACAAGCTGGTGGTGTTGCCATTGACTGAGTGTAGACATCTTGTGAAGGGGTGTCCCCGCTTACTCTGGTTGCCAGGCTGTGATGAGAGGGGATGGAGGGGGGACTTCAGCTTGGGCTTTCCAGTGAAAGGCAGGTGGACTTCCAAAGGTACATGAGCAGTCTGGGAGCATGACTGATCAGAGGTGAGAGGTCCCTCCCCCTTTTCCTCTTCCCCCCTTCACAACTGCTCCAGCCGTTCCCACCAGAGTGGGGCTGGAAGCTGCAGCTGCCTAACCTCACTTCAGGGTTAGATCTTTAATGAACTTATGTTCAGTCGTCTGGGGATGCTGATGACGTTTTCTTGGAGGATGGAACGAGCAAAGTTCCAAAAAGTGTGAAATGATGGTGAGAAGCAGCGTTAGAGCATGTATACGGAGGATTTGGTCCTAGCTCCCTCTAGTGCATGCATGTGGGCAGAGGTATGTAAAACATCTTATTTAAAATATTAATACAGTAATTGTTTGTAAATATATACTTCAGAGGTCTTTAACAAAGCTTTTCATTACTACTCCTGTAGCTAGTGGACTAGCAGAACTCGAGTAAGCCAGGAAACTGTTACCTCCTCAGCTTCGCTCACAGGTAGCCATAAGATTTCACAGAGGATGATCTATCCTAGCAGTATTTGAGAGTGGGGTTATTCTGAATTCTGGGACTGAATTTAAATTTTGAATAATGCCAACACCTGTTTTGGGGGGCTTTAAATTTCTTGAGTAGAAAGTCATACTATTGCTTATTTACATACATGCATTGATGAGTGCTACAAGGATTAAAAGGTTAGGACTCAGCCCGAAATTAAGACACCTAAGTGTTGATGTCTGAGTATGGGTGTCTACATGCAAGCTAGACATTTAAGTGCCCACTGTAGACTGTGAAGGTTATCAGCACAGTCAGATGAAGTCTGGAGAATAGTCTGGCTCACTCTTCAAAAGTCACGCAGGGCTTGGTTCAGTTGCCTAAACATGTGTGTACTGACATTTAAGATTGTCCTAAGATAACCTTGGATGTCTAGGTTATCCAAAACATTTTGACAAGTTTGGCAGATGCAATTGAGGACCTACAGACAAATCTGCACGCTTGTGAACTGGCAGCTGGACAACAGGCAGGAGGCCTTAGCCCAAATGGTACTAAAAGCCTGGTGAGCAAATGACCTGTGCCTGCAGTGGGTGATCACATGAAGTCATCTCCAGGCTCTGCTTGCGCACTGACTAGGCTGTATCACCCCATTGACTGCGACGGGAGATAGACACCAGCATTTCTGTGTCTTAATCTGTGTCCTTAGGCTCAGTGGTTACTTCCTCAGTTGTTGCTTATTACAGGGCAATTACCAAATTCCAAATTATTTTAAAGAAAATAGTCTTGCTCACACCACTTCAGTGCAGAACAGTACATGGCTTTACTTTCTGTAGCAATGAAAATGGGCAAAAGACTGACAGTATAAAAATAGCATTACAGAGGATGCTGCTTAAAGATCTTATTTA